GACTGATGTCGGCAAACCTTTGGTGAAGACATCGGCGTACTGTGACGTAGTGGGAACATGCAGGACGCGGACCTCACCGAGGGCGACTCGCTCTCTGACGAAGTGTAGATCAATCTCAACATGCTTCGTTCGCTGATGCTGGACTGGGTTACTGGAGAGGTAGACTGCACTGACATTATCACAATAGACCACAGTGGCGCGGCGAAGAGGATGATGGAGCTCCTGCAGAAGTTGGCGCAACTAGCAGGCTTCGGCAACACCATTCGCCACGGCTCTATACTCCGCCTCTGCACTGGACCTTGACACAGTGGGCTGACGCTTGGATGACCAGGAGATGAGATTGTCCCCGAGGAACACGGCATAACCAGAGGTGGACTTGCGTGTGTCAGGACATCCCGCCCAATCAGCATCCATGTAGACAATAAGATCAGCCGGTGAGGTCCGGTGAAGGTGAAGACCGAGGTCCAAAGTACCCTGAAGATAGCGAAGAATCTGCTTCATAGCACCAAGATGAGGCTCCCGAGGATCATGCATATACAAGCAGACCTACTGAACAGCGTAGGCGATATCCGGACGGGTGAAGGTGAGGTACTGTAAGGCGCCGGCGATGCTGCGGTAGAAGGTGGGGTCGGCCACGGCAACACCATCAGCAGACAACTTGGCTTGAGTATCCACAGGAGTACTGCAAGGCTTACAGTTGAGCATACCAGCACGGTCCAGAATATCCAGCATATACTAACGCTGTGAGAGGAACAGACTGTCATGTTGGCGCTGAACACTGACTCCAAGGAAATGATGAAGAGGTCCCATATCCGTCATAGAGAATTCCTGGCGGAGAGCAGCAATGATCCGCTGAAGAAGACTCAAAGAGGAGGCCGTCAAGATGATGTCATCAACATAGAGAAGCAAGATAGCCATATCGGAGCCATTACGATATATGAACATTGAAGTATCAGACTTTGCCTCAACAAAACCAAGAGAGATGAGGTAAGAGGCAAACCGATGGTGCCAGGCGCGGGGGGCTTGCTTCAATCCATACAGGGACTTATTCAACCGGCATACAAGGTCAGGTCTAGAGGTGTCAGCAAAACCAGTCGGCTGTGCACAGTAGACAGTCTCATTCAAGGTGCCATGGAGGAATGCATTCTTCACATCGAGCTGGTGAATAGGCCATGAATGAGAGAGTGCCAGAGTGAGAACGGCCCGAACTGTTGCTGGCTTGACCATAGGACTGAAAGTTTCATCATAGTCAATGCCCGGACGCTGTGTGAAACCACGAAGGACCCATCGAGCCTTATAGCGGTCAAGAGAGCCGTCTGACTTGAACTTGTGACGAAAAATCCACTTGCCTGTAACGAGGTTGACACCAGGAGGCCGAGGAACTAGGGACCAAGTGTCATTTGCTTGCAGGGCATCAAACTCCTCCTGCATAGCCGCGCGCCACGCCGGATCCGCAAGTGCAGAGCGAACCGAAGATGGCACTGGAGATAGCGTACCCGTCTGAAGATTCAGGCGATCAACAGGCTGCCGTATGCCGTCCTTGCCATGTGTGCGCATACCATGCGCATTGGTGACAGGAATAATCGCCTGGGGCACCGTAGCTGTGGTGCGGCCGGAGGGACGGCCGGCGCCGCTGGCAACGACCTGGGACGGGGCGTCCGCAGGGGCAGCAGTGCCGGCCAGCCCGGTAGAAGGCGCGCTGTCAGGGGCAGCCGTGGAGGCACCAGCCGGTGGGGGGCTGTGTGCCGGCGCGCCACTGCTGCCGCCGAGGCTGCTAGGGGCGGCATCTATGCCGCCAGGAAGGCGTGAACCTGCATACATAGCTCTTGACCCATAGGGAAAAGAGGAATCATCAGTGCTGTCCAAAAAATCAAGTGTGGTGGGATCCTGGGGCGAGGTGGACATATCGGCGAAGGGAAACACCGCTTCATCGAAGACGACATGTCTAGAGATGATAATGCGGTTAGAATGGAGGTCAAGACACCGATAGCCCTTGTGATCGGAGGAGTACCCTAGGAAGACACACATGGAGGAGCGTGGTGAGAGCTTATGTGGAGCTGTGGATGACAGGTTAGGATAGCAAGCACAGCCAAAAACACGAAGGTGAGTGTAAGAGGGCTGCGTGCCATGGAGGGCGAGGTAGGGTGTTCGGCCGTCTAGGGTTTTTGTGGGGTGGCGGTTAAGGAGGTAGGTGGCAGTGTGGAGTGAGTCCGCCCAATAAACCAGGGGTAGACTGGCCTGAAACAGGAGTGAGCGCACAATGTTGTTAATGGTGCGTAGGAGGCGCTCAACCCGCCCATTCTGCTGGGAGGTGTATGGGCATGAAAGGCGAAGAACGACCCCGTGAGTGAGGAAGAACGTGCGAGCCGAGGAATGGTCGAATTCATGGCCATTGTCGCACTGAACCGCCTTGATGGAGGAGTCGAACTGCGTGCGCACATACGAGAAGAAATTAGTGAGAGTAGTAAAAGTGTCGGATTTGAGGCGTAAAGGAAAAGTCCAGCTGAAGTGAGTGCAATCATCAAGAATGACAAGATAATATTTATAGCCAGAAACACTAACAACTGGAGATGTCCAAAGATCACAGTGTATTAAATCAAAGGGGCGAGGTGCACGGGAATTTGACATGCTAAAAGGAAGACGCACATGGCGGCCTAGCTGACAGGCATGGCAAATATGAGTGTCATCACGCTTATTACATGAAATAGCATGTGAACTAATGAGTTTGGACAAGGCCTCATGACCGACATGACCGAGACGGCGATGCCATAGGGTGGTGGAGCCGGCGGTAGCAGTGAGGGCGGTGGTGCTGGTGGATGCTGGCGAGAAGAACGGGTAGAGATCTCCCGTGCTATTGCACCTGGCGATCACGCTCCGTGTCTGGAGGTCCTTCACAGAAAAGCCGAAAGGATCAAACTCGATGGAACAGTTGTTATTAGTGGTAAACCGATGAACGGAAATTAAATTCTTAATAATGCTAGGGGAAACTAGAACATTAGAAAGAATTAAAGGACGTCGCGGTGTGATAAAAGAGTGAGATCCTACGGAGGTAACGGGAAGCGTAGCTCCATTACCGACAATGATAGATGAAGGACTTGATGACAAGGGAGGGTGAGAGGAGGAAATTATACCAGCATTGTTGACCATGTGGGCGCCAGCACCAGAGTCAACATACCAATTGCTCGGGCCAGGCGGTGTCAGCATCATGGTGCCGAAGTTGCTGGCGAGTGACGACGTGTCGAAGGACCCGCCGTGCATCGGGCTCCATGGCTGCTGCTGCTATGGTGGAGGCGTCGGCTGCCCATAGCCGAAGCCTGGAGGAGGGCCGAGCTGGGAGGGAGCCCTGTATCCGGTCCCGTACCCGTACGGTGCCTGGAAGTGGGGCTGCTGCTGCGGCTGGGGCACCATCGTGAGGGCCTGCTGTGGCGGGCGATAGTGACCGCCATGTCCGCCGCCGGGTTGTGGGGGGTTCGGCCAGAACTGAACCGTGCCCCCCCACGTGTTGTAGAGGAACGGGGGCGGACGCTGGCCACCAGATGGCGGACCGCCGGGCTGCTGGGGCTGCTGTTGCTGCCGGCCACCGCGGCAGCGCCGGCGCTGGCGGTTGCCCTGGCCACCGCCAGGGTTTTCGTGACCACCGGGGTTGCCGCCTTGGCCAGGCGTGCCACCAGCCGGGCCGCGGCCACAGGGAGGGCCACGACCGCCGGACCTGGAGTCGGTGAGGAGGGCCGGCGGTGGCGGAGCTGGCGGGTTGGTGGAGCCGGCGACGTCGTCGAGGTCGATCTCCTCCAGAAGAAGTAGCGTGCGGGCCTCGGCGAAGGTAGGGAACGGTTGGCGCAGCTTGATGTTGGTCACCATGGGGCGAAACTTGTCGCTGAGGCCCCGCAACAGCGTGAGGACAAGGGTCCGGTCGCCTACCGGATCGCCGAAGTCCTTGAGGTTGGCCGCCATGGCCTCCAGCTTGCGGCAAAAGTCTGTGATGGAGGACGCGCCTTGTTTCACAGTGCGGAACTCGGCGGACAGTAGCAGCGCGCGCGACTCGCGCTGGCCGAGGAATTCGTCCTCGAGATGGAGCCAGGCGGTGCGGGCGTTGGGGTTCTTCAGCATGGTGGACTGCTGGAGATCGGCGTTGATCGTGCCGTAGATCCACATGAGTACGGTGCAGTCCATTTGCAGCCAGGCCGGCTGATCGGTGTTCACCACATCGGTTAGAACGTGATCGGTGAGGATGTACTTGCCCAGGACGACGAGGAAGAGGGAGCGCCAGCGATTGTAGTTGTTCGCGGCGTGATCCAAGACGACCAGGACGAGGACCTTGATGTTGTTGACGGCGATGGCGGCGCTGTGGGAGTTGGCATGCTTCGCCTCGAACTCGTCGAGGGCCTTGGCGCGTTCGGCGGCGACCTGACGGAGACGGGCAGCCTCGGCCTCGCGCTCGCGCTCCTCGCGCGCCTGGCGCTCGGCCTCGGTTTCTGCCATGGGCGATGTAGAGGCAGGGACCGGGCTGGGACACGGGAACCGGCGGGATCAGTCGCGTCGGGGGCGAGCCGGCGGGATCAGGAGCGTCGGGGACGGGCGCTGGTCGCGTCGCGACGTCCGTCGGGAACAGGCGCGGACCGAGGCGTCGAGGACGGAGTCGCGACGTCGGGCCGGGAAGCCGGCGAGGGGACCTCTGCGACGGCGGGGTACAGGTGCGTCGCGCTGGCGCTGGAGGCGCGCGCGTTCGCGGGGACGGCCGGCGGCGGCGCGCTCGTGAGGAGCGGCGGCAGCGCAGCACTAGTTTTGCGGAAGCTAGGTTACGGGATCGTAATCTCTCTTGATACCATGATAGACAGTATTTTGGGTAATACTTAATGCATTGAACGGTGATAGGCGGTGTTTACATATAGGGTATGAGGGAGCTAAGTATAGCAGGCCTCATGCCGAGAGATACTCTCTAACACCGCTCTCCAACAATCTCCTTGCATTCAGGCCGGCAACAAGAACAAACAGCAAACAGCTCACGTGAAGCATGCAGTGATCCAGTCCTCCCTCTTCTGCATGGCATGCCAGAGATCAACCACCTTCAGGTTCATCTCCTTGCACAAAGCTACGCAGGCGTCAGAGTACAGACGGCAGGTTTCGTTGGTCCGGACGATCTCACTAAGTATAGTACTGCTGCACACATAATATGTTCAGTTCCCTGTGTTATATTGCAACAAGCCAGGATTCACGATACAATTGATTGCCCACCTGGTTGAGTTTCGAAGCATCTCCTCGTTCAGAGGTGGGCAGCTCAGGAAAATTACTTGTGTCTTCTCAGAGAGGGTCTGACCACAAAGGCAAACCGACTGTCAAACAACTAGCTACAGGTGCACCACCATTCCAGGAACATCTTGCTAATCAATGCTCTACCTCTAGGTGTTCTGCAATCTTTCTCATGTTCCCTATGTACTCATCTAGCGGCACATGAGGCCCAAGACCAGAAGAATGAGCAGCAATGGAGTCGTTTCCACCAAAGTAAACTATTACCAAAGAAGGCTGCACTGCTGAATCCTATGACAAATGGAGAGTAGAAAATCAGTTAAAATTTGGACGACAGCCAGCTAATTTTTTAATATCATCATAGATTATTTTGTAAATTGGATTAAGATCATTACATCATAGTATTGGTCCTTGAGAACATACACGTGTGTCATCATATAGATAGGAAACTAAAAACTACTGAAAATTTTCATTATGGTATGATAAACAAGTAAAAGAGGGCCAAGTAGTCAGCAGTTTATCATGATACTGATAGCTAAGACTAATGGAAGAAATAGGCATGAAGGGAAGAAGCAGACTTCCTCTTGTTAGAAAAACTGCACAGAAGAGGATTATATTACTTAGGCAGTAGCAGTTAACAGTGATTAAAAAACAGGGCTGTAAGGAATTTATGTGACCCAAAATGACTTTTTGTAGAGACAAAGATAACTGTTAAGATGGAGATACAGAAACAAAATTAGAGATTTGGGCCATATAATCCTTAGGGAACACTTTGTCCATCACTTGAACAGCCCGCCTTGTGTTCCAGCCGATATATCCTCTTAGCAATATATCAGCCTGAATAAATAGCAAGCAGAAATAAGCACTACTGAAGTAAAAACGTTGCTAAGGTAGTTTCGTTCACCAATAAGTTGACCCAAAGGTTACTCTGACATAAGATGTGAATAAGTGAGTTTACCTTACCGGTTGCCCTAGTGAGGTCACAAAATAAAAATTCAGGACACCCTGTTATACACTAGTTTTCTGTGTGATTTTTTATAGTAACAAGAATGAAAGTTCCACGACGAAACCAGCTAATCAAGAGCTGAATCTAGTGACTGTTATGACGCTGGTGGTAGTGGTGGCGCCGGCGCCGGCGAGCCTTGGCTGCGCAGGCCGTAGCCGTGGGTAGAGTCGGAGCGAGGTTTTACCCCTCGGCTCCCTATGTTGTTTAGAGGAGGAAGACAGGGGAAGGATTAATTCATTGCTTGATTATTCTCAGTGTGCCTCCCGGCTTACATAGCCATTAGGCTGCCTAATTTCCCCTCAAATCACTCTCAATCACTCCTTGATAGACTCCTAGATTAACACCAGCTAATGGTGCACCCAAATTGGCCCCAAATTGACAGCATTTCAGCCACTTTCCTGGCTTGCTGCCACTGCCTTCTTTGCTCTGCGGGTCAGGGGCGGAGCTAGGATTTGAGCATAGGGGGGACCGTGCAAACCGGCAACAACCATGCATGTCAAAATGTATACACGCAACAAACATGTACATAACACACAAATAAACGTTTTATGTTGCGATACAAAAGAAAGCAGGAAAAACTAAAAAATGAAGGGAGTTTAATTAGCCTCAAGCCTCTAACCTTTACCCGATCAATCTAATTCTTTGACCGAAAAAAGAATTACGGTAATAACAAGTAGTTAAACAGGGCCAAAACTAATTAGCACTAGATCCTAAATGTTAAATGGCAAACAATCGGTCACTTGTCGTTTAGCCTCGGACAAAACGGCCACTTAAACGGTAGACGATTAAACGGAAACATCATACCACTATGTAGCATTTAAATTTTAAATATTGGCCAAACTCGCTAATGCCAATTGAAGATCAATTTTGAAGGATTAAACAAGAAAAAGCACTGATTCCAATTAACTAGCTAATTAGAGTGTGTGGTGTGGGGACAAATTAATGTTTGATAAGCAATAACGAAAACAAAAAGATATGGAGAAAATATTAGAAATACCTAATTTTTATTTATCTAAAATACTATTAGATATTAATATGGAGTAAGAACGAAAAAATTATAGTACTAATAGTATCATTAACTAGCTAATTAGATAATTAAGCACCTAATTTAGGGGGTGTATTATGGGAGTTATGGGAAGGTTGGGGGGTGCCAGGCCCCCCTCAGCCCCCCCTTCCCTCCGCCACTGCTGCGGGTGAACCTGTTTCCCACGTGACAGTGACCAAACCAAACTGTGCAATATACTTGTATTTTGAAAAGTATGTTCGTTCGTCTACTTCTTTTTTAAAAAATAGGACTGAGTGACCTTATACATATATAGCGGGATGTTATATAAAAATAGTTGGGCGACAAAATTTATAAAGCTGTCCCAGTAGTATGTTCTTTCGGGATTGATAAAATCAGATTGACAGATAAAAACCAGATGCAAATGTAATTATCTGTCATAACGGAAAATGTGCATTTTTTATTTCCAGGCGTAAACTAGTTTGGTGCAGAGATTTTCCTAGTCCAGATATTTTGCTTTCCGGTTGAAGCAGGAAAGGATGCACAAGAAACAGACTAGCCAACAGATGAACAGAAGCAGAGAGAGAGAGAGAGAGGAAATCTGTTTCTACATTCACTCGATCTCTCACCGCCACCACCGTCGCCGGCGAGGAGGTGGAGCTGGAGCCTCGAGGAGATGAGAAAAGCAAAGACGTACAGATTTGAAGCAGCAGCAGGCGTAGCGTACCGTACCTTGCGGGCGTAGATGTCGGCAAGCGCGGCGCCCCATCCACCATTGCTAAAGCTGTACTGCAGGATGGAGGAGACGAAGAGCACGAAGAGGGGACGGCCTCCAAGCATCGTCCTCCCTCCTGCTACCTCTCCAAGTTCTCCAATTGGATGTCCTGACCGATCCACCTGGCATGCTCGATCTACGAGTACTCTGCCCTTCTCTCTCTTCAGTTTGGAGATCGACAAGTAGACGGATCGAAGTAGCTGGAGCTTAGGCCTCGTCTAGATCGCAAGTTTTTTTATTCTTTATATGTCACGTCAAATCTTTAAACACATATATATAGAGTATTAAATATAGATAAAAAATAATTAATTACATAATTTGATTATAAATTACGAAACAAATCTTTTGAACCTAATTAGATTATAATTGGACAATAATTATTAAATACAAACGAAAATATATAGTTCCTAACTTCAATCTAAACAGGACCTTATTGAAAATAAGGTGCGTACTGAGTAGTGCCAGTGCACTGACTGCGGCCTACTCCCACGCCTACTTCATTCGCTTCCTTTATTGCAACCGCAAGCTACTTTGCTAAGTTGCACACACCACAGTTGTCGTCAGTCGTCACACTATTTTTCTCTAAAAACTTTACACAATTAAAATACTAAAATCTAGTTTAATCTTTTAAAAATCATAGAAAAATTTGTTTTAGCTCATAGAATTATCAAACCAGTTTCATATTTTTTCTAAAATAAATCATGCTTCATCTTATGGTAATTAAAATTATTTAGACGTTCCGTACACTTTTTTTTGGTGTTTGTTGGCTAATATATGCTTTTGTTATCTATTATAATTTATTCGATGTTGATTAACTAAACTAAATGACACGGACTTTTCTTGGTAGCATACTCTCGTTATATATTACTTCTTGTTTTTCTTTTCTAAAATTTGTTTTTTCTTTACATTGCTGGTGTTTGTTGAGTGATATCTACGGGTTATCATCGGATAGTCAAGTGACACCTATGTTCATACTAAGGGTTTATTTAGTATACCTTATAAGCTGCTTACTATCAAAATAAGCTAAAACTACAAACATAAATGGCATGCTTTATTTTATAGTCTTTTCTAGCCATACATTTCCTCGTTGTCCCCAGTTTACAATAAATCATAAGAAAAAACTTGTTTAGACTAGTTTATTTTGGCCGTCCTTTTCCTCCAATTATGCCACTTCCAAGGAAGCGCTTCTCGCCATACTTATGGTTGTACCAAACAGGACGGATCGAGCATGGCATAGTTATATCATTACATGAAACTTGGTCATCAAAGCCACCACTGCATGCCCACTAGGAGTAGCTAGTGCAGTTCTGAGAAGTTGGTTGTCTCGCTCTCCCGTCAAACTCAGCTAACTCCGTCATTTATAGATCTGCACCAACAAGCCATGCAAACGTACATCATCATTAACCTTGACGGTGGCCCTTTCAATCGTACAAGTACAACACTATAAAATTGCCATTTTTGTTTCAATAATATTATAATAATGGTAATACTCCTAGATATACGCCACTGCTGCCCACTGTGTCTGACCATACTCCAACATCGTCTGATCTATTTTTAAATATACTAACGGCTTGTTTCTCGCGACACCGCTTTAGACGGGGCCACACAATTTTTCTTTCACAATTCTATCTTAATTAACCTTAATACAGGCCCCATTCGGCTGGAAGAATTATGGATGAATTTGGATGAAAAATACTATTTCAGATGAAATGTTGTGAGAGAAAAACACTGTTCCGTATGAAAAAAGAAACGGATAAGCCGGGTTTAAGGATAGCCCAAAAAACCACAGTATTACTTATTAAAGGCCACCAACCAAGCCTTACATCAATCCTCACATGATGGGACATTATAAATTTTCACAAACCTGCTTCTAAATTACTCACCTCCGCCATCATTGCAAGGTACAATGCAAGTACCATCGCAACTACCTCAAGGGGGGTTGAAGACGACAAAGAAGAGATTAACGAGACGGCAACAGTATCAGCCTCTAGTTGAACATTGTTGTTACTCAGAAACTCCAGAGACGGGCTGTCGACGCCGAAAAATCAGCGCTGGGAACATAGTAATCAATGCCGCGGAGAGAACCGCGCGGAGCAGATTCTGAACTCTCTCCGGGATTAGGAAGGAAACCACCGGACCAGACGGTCGTGATCTCAAGGACGTACCAGTCAATTTGACCCGGTAATCTGATGATAGGGCTCATTCCCTTGATGTCATCATTTCGCCAGGCAATTTGTTTAGCCGATTTAATTGGAGGACTCAGCCTTGATAATTTATTGTCTTCAGGAACTCCCTATCTCGAATCAAATTTCTGTGTCAACACATGCTCCCCAATTTCAGGATAAAAGTGATTTTATTCCGAAATTATCTTCTGTGCTATTTTGAGGCTGCCGATGTGTCTTCAACAGGAACCGAGAACTTTATATTGGGGCTCACTGGCTCTGTCTCTCTTTACGCTCTCGGTCGTTTGCATGCTTCATGGGTATGCCACTTCTTTGTTGGCATCCTATGTCCCAAAGTTCCACGGGTGCACATTGCTTCACGGGTGTTTGGATTCAGCTTCTCTGGTCGACTATAAATACTCATCCGATCTTGACGAGAACGACCCAACAATCTAGCCATGTCCCTCTCGCTTCCGCTTCTTCGAGCGCCCTTGGCTTTGTTAGATCCTCCTTGGACCAATGCTTCACCATGAAAACCCCTGGTGGTTAGAAGAATTCTTGTGTTTAGGGTGATTGCGTCGCCCATTTTAGTGCCTTGTCGAGCAAGGGAACCAGTCGCCGTGGTTAGAATAATTCTTGTGATGTCACCTGAGTCTTCTCACCATCGGTATGAGGCTGTTCTAGTTTTTACAAGAGCTCAAATGTGTGGACACCTTCCCCTTATTTGCTCTACCTATACCAAGAAGCCTGCGAAGTTGACCAGTGCATTCTTGATGAATATGTCTATTTCCTTCTCCCCCTGATGCTACTTCCATCTCTTAGCTGATGCGACGTTTTTCAGCTTTGTGGGGTTCAAACTCTCTTCAATCCAATGAAGTCTTCTTGGGCTGGCTAGTCAGTTCCGGGTGTAACTCTTTTTTTAACAATCCTCCAGGATCCAAGTATCATAATCATGGAAAGCAATAAATTTGAATCTGTTGCGTCTCCTAATTTTCGCAAACTGTCCCCTCGATCTCCAGAGTGACAATTCCTTTCCATAACTGATTCTGATTGCGCAGCCTCGAGGAAGTCTATCATCGCATCTCCTAGGCTATAAATAAGAGCCATGGCCGCAGACGAGAAACCAATCTGCCACATCTCGATTTTCTTGTGTCCCGAGCGTGAACTGTTCCTCTCATCTCTAGATCCAAAATCATCATCCTTTCTGTAGAGATGGAGAACGACAAGCGACCTGCCGATGAGATTCCTGATGAGTTCGTGCTGCCATACCAGTGTTCTCGTCCCCAATAGCAAGGATGAACATGGTTTTGTGATCCTTGAGCGGATTAATCTAACCTTTCATATCTGCAGGGCCAACTCAAATGGTGGCCTCCTTCCCCGCACGATCGTTGGTCCCAGCGGCGCGTAGGTGGTGTCTCCAGTAAACTCCTCCACGAGATTCTCTGATTCCCATGGCAACGACATCCACCGACTTCTTTAGGAGAGAGATGAGGCCCGAGCGTGGTATTCCAATGCGGCTTGCGATCTTGGGCGCATGGACTTCCATCTGAATGCTCTGCAAGATGTGCTCACCATCTCAAAGAATAGGGCCAACTCTGCTCAAGCGAGGTTGACCGAAGCTAAGGCTAGAATCACAGGTGATATTCCTTGTGGCAACTTCTATCCTCACAACCCTGATCTCACAGAACTCTGACTGTTTCTCCTTTGGATTCATCAGCCTTGTCAACGCAGCTTGAAAGTCTCCAACTGGCTGTGGGTTATGTGACAGGATTCATCAATGCTTGGGTGCTGTACCGGTGGCCCGTTTGCACGATGTCCTGAATCGCATCAGGAAGATCGCTCTTCATGGTGTTCGTCACGGTGCTGCTATTGCCCTGGCCGTGGCACAAGTTCGCTCTAGATGCGAGCTTCGACTTCTTCCCCATGGTTTTCCAGCGATTGACCGTCCTGAAGACCATGAGATCTTGATTGAGGATTTCTCCAATGCCACCGACACCATAGCTTTCTCTTCCCTGGCTAGAGACATTGTAAACAAAGTGTTTCTTGGCCCTTAGATTGTAATAGGAAACTAGCGAATAAACTTTTTATGTTTGAAGCGATTTTTTTCTCTTTTGTCTCCTTATGCAAGGCGGATCTCCCTTTTTATTTTTTGTACTACAGGTGATGCATACCACACTAGCTTTTGCCTCCTTAGGCTGAATTTTGGTTATTCTTTTTTTGTTCTAAAGGTGATATTTTCTTATATCGGCTATAAAAGCTCAATTGAAAATTCAATCGGCCAATTCAAGCATCGACCCAAATACTGGGGTAATACTTCTTGAAGTGCTTTCCATTGAGCGCTCTGTTGAATTCTTTACCTTCTAGCATTTCGTAGAAGTAAGCATTGCTAGGCACGCATCGAGTAATACGATAAGGCCCTTCCCAGTTAGGCAACCACTTGCCATATGCATTGTCTTTGGTCCCGATTGGTAGGATCAGCTTCCAAACCAATTTGCCTTTGTGGAACTACTTGGCTTTGACTTTCTTGTCATAATACTTGGCGATCCTTAGTTTGTTAGCTTCGATGTTTTCCAGAGCACGAAGCCGATGACAATTTAGATCTTCCAGATCATCCATCATCAAAACTTTGTAATCACCGACCGTTAGATTTTCTTGAGACTCAATACGTCGTGATCCAGTTCTGATCTCCCAAGGAAGAACGGATGCATGTCCATAAACTAATTCATAAGGAGAGCACTTAGTTGATCCGTGGCATGCCATCCGATAGGCCCGATAATGATTCATTCAATGTTAAGTGCCACTTCCTTGGCCGATCGATTATCTTCTTCGCCTCTGCTTGTCCATTGGCCTGGGCATAGTAGGGAGAAGAGTTTAAATTTGAATCCTATGTCGGTGGCAAAGCT